CCTAAACCCTGAACCCCTGAACTAAACCCTAAACTTGACGCCCGCCTGGAAACCTGCAAAAGCCCTTGGCACCTCAACTCAAGCCTTGGTCTGCCGTGTCTCCGCTTGCAAAAGAAGAGTAAAACTACAGGAAGTGACCGAAGAAACCTCGGCACACAAACTTAGAGTGGAAGTGGAGAGCTAGTGTTCAGGTTTTAGGGTCTAGGGTTTATTATTGTTTAAGGGATTAGAGTGTAGGGTTTAGGTTTTATAAACCTTGCCGAAGTAGTAGGGTCTCAAAGTCCAAAAGCCACTCAGAGTATGGATCTTGGGATCTAAAAGCTTACCAGTTGGGCACTCGGACCCTGTGGGGTAGAGTTTCGGGTTTAGTGTTTAAGGGCTTCGAGTGTAGGGTTTAGGCTTTATAAAGCTTATAGGGGTTTTTAGGCTCCACTGCGCTGCAAACTTCGTGGCGTGACGACCGTCCGTCTCATGTCGATCACGCTCCACGTCCGCTTGCTGAGTGGTCGCACATTCTCAGCTGAAGCCCTACTGGATGTTGATGTGGGTACCTTGAAACACCAAGCAGAAAGCGCCCTGGCAGTTGGCAACGGCAGACTTGTCCATTCCTCCGGCGAAGAGCTGGATAGCATGCGGACCATCAGAGAATGTGGGTTGCAGACTGGCGATGTTCTGAACTTGCAACTACAACCAGTGATGGTGCTGTCTTCCAGAGGTCAAATGTACGCAGCTTTTGCTGCCATCCTTGGCGATGGCTCGGTGGCTGCCTGGGGTCCTGCTGACCACGGTGGCCACACCGGCGCTGTACAAGATCAATTAAGAAAAGTCCAACAAGTTCAGGCTTCTACGTCAACTTTTGCTGCTGTCATTGCCGGTGGATCCGTGCTGACCTGGGGCGATGCTGTGGGTGACAGCAACGCCGTGCAATATCAACTGACGGATGTGCAACGGCTTCAATCCACCTTCGGTGCTTTTGCCGCCATCCTGGGCAATGGCTCCGTGGTGACTTGGGGCCACGCCGATGTTGGTGGCGACAGCAGTGCCGTCAGAGATGAACTCAGGAATGTGCAGCAGATTCAAGCGTCTCACCTCGCTTTTGCTGCCATCCTTGGCAATGGCTCCGTGGTGACTTGGGGTCTCGCCGATGGTGGTGGCGACAGCAGTGCCGTCAAACATCAACTCAGGAATGTGACCCAAATTCAAGCCACTTTACGAGCTTTTGCTGCCATCCTCGCCGATGGCTCCGTGGTGACATGGGGTGACGCGGAGTCGGGTGGGGACAGCAGTGTTGTGCAAAGTCAGCTGAGGAATGCGCAACAGATTCAAGCCAACCACCGCGCTTTCGCTGCCATCCTTGGCGATGGCTCCGTAGTTACGTGGGGCCATGCTGACTGGGGTGGCAACGCCCGTGCTGTAAAAGATAGGCTGAAGAGAGTGCAACAGATTCAAGCTACTCACTATGCTTTTGCAGCCATCCTGGAAGATGGATCTGTGGTTACCTGGGGGGGTTCTGACGGCGGTGGCGACAGCAGCGCGGTGCAACATCAGTTGAAGAACGTGAAGCAGATACAAGCAGCTGCCGGAGCTTTTGCCGCCATCCTTGGAGATGGTGGTGTGGTGACTTGGGGCCATGACGGTGGCGGTGGCGACAGCACGGCCGTACAAGAGCAGCTGAGGAATGTGCAGCAAGTTCAAGCCTCTTTCTACGCCTTTGCGGCCATCCTTGGCAATAGATCCGTAGTGACCTGGGGCCACGCTGATGCCGGTGGCGAAAGCAGTGCTGTGCAAAAGCAATTGAGGAACGTGACCCAGATTCAAGCCTCTTTACGAGCTTTTGCTGCGATCCTAGCCGATGGATCCGTGGTGACCTGGGGTCATGTTACCGGTGGTGGCGACAGTAGTGCTGTGCAAGATCAGCTGTGCAACAGGCAGAACTTGGCCAGCGAGGCATAAAAGGCATTCGTCCTCCTGTGGAGCAATCATTGCTTCCCACCCTTGTTGCCCCAATACAACTTTTCATTAATTCAAAGCACAGCACTGCCGAAAATCCCGAATTCCTAAGCCCTAAATATAAACCTTAAATACCTACACCCCAAACCCTGGGGAAGTCGTAAAGAAACCCTACCAGAAAGTCCAGTCAAGCCACTCGGAGCTGACCCTCAACTGTAAATTAAGCCGTCTGCAAAAAGGCACTCCAAAAAAGAACCGAACCCTTAAAACCCGCAAGCCCTAAACCCTAAACCCCTAAAGAGCCCTCAAGCCTTAAACCCTGCAAGCCTAAAGCCCCTAAACACCAAACCGGAATCAGGCGAAGGCAGAGCTTTCGCGCTTGCTGTCCAGCTTGCCGGAGAGGCTTTCCGGGCCTCACCGGTCTGGGTTCCGCGACTGAGGGTTTAGGGTTTAGGGCCTTCGGGTTTAGGGTTTAGGGCCTTCGGGTTTAGGGTTTAGGGTCTGAGGGTTAAGGGTTTAGGGTTTAGGGTTCGACGGCTTAGGGTTAAGGGTCTTACCAGGACCCTACTCCTTGTACCTTCAAAGAGGGGCACAAGGTCTCAAGTCATGGGTACTTAGGGTCGAATGGAGGGTAGACGGAGGACCTAGGTAGGGTTTTGGGCTCAGGGTTCAGCGTCTACAGGGTTATGGGCCTCAGGGTTCAGGGCTCCAGGGTTTAGGATTTATAGTTGAGTTTAGGGTTGAGGGTCTTTGGGCGTAGCGTTTAGCGCTCAGGGTTGACTTTTGAGGATCTTTTGGTGACTTTGGTGGGGGGCTAAGGTTCGAGAGTTCTTGGGTCCTTGTTACTATAGGGTTTAGGATTTAGGGTTTAGGGTTTAGGTTTCTTCGGGGTTGGTGTGGTGGTTTTAACCGTTGCTTCAGAGGGCCTAACGGCATTTATAACAGCTGTACAAGGCTCTTCTATGAACTTCAGGGTGTCCGGTTTGTCAGGGTAGTCTGTGTTTCGTCAGCATGCCGCCTGGGCTCAGTCGGGGACCCAAGCCTGTGGGAATCGTCGCGCATGAGCTTGTTTAGGGTTTAGGGTTTAGGGTTTAGGGTTTAGGGTTTAGGTTGAAGGTGGCCGGTGCAAGCAATCAGCAAGTGCTACTGGATGAAGTTCGGTTGCAGTTTGAAGGAAATCAGCATTCAGGGACTGCCTGATTACAAACCGTTTGAGCCTGGCACGCAGCTCGGGCCACTGCGGATTGAGCAGGCCGGGAAAAATTGATCTGGTTGAGAAGCTTGTGTTCGCGAGAAGACTTTTATCTTTCCCTAAGGGTCCAAGTACCTAATAATCACATACTCTCCCAAATAGTAACTTACATAAATACTTTCCAAAACCTAAGTACCTGATATGATTGGGTCCTTTGGACCCTTGGGGTTTTGGATGGATTCCAGTTCCTCGGGTCTTCTTTTTGAAGCCCTGAGCCGAAAGTCACCGTGCAGCGCACATGCCACGGCCAAGCACAAGGCTATAGAGGCAAACGCTTCGCAGACGGTTTAGGGTTTAGGGCAGACGGTTTAGGGTTTAGGGTTTAGTACTGCCTGTCTTGTTGCTGTTCTGCCATGGACGACAGGCCAGGGTACTCTGGTTTTATTGTTTTTTCTTGTTGTACTTGCCTATACCGGCCTTCCCGAGCCCTGGCGGGACTCAAGTGGTGCCGTCGGAGTAAAGCTATACACTATGTTGGACCCCGAGGGACAGGACCGGACCTTACAAGCCCACGATCCAACACAAACACCCAAAAGCAAACAGAGTCCTTTTCACATGAGACCCTCACCAGCCTTTTTTTGGATGGGGGAGGGAGCGGATGTGAACCACAGGGGGTAACGAGGGCGGAGGGCGCAGTTCGCAGTCTGCGCTTTGGAATTACGGGCCGAGGGTATGTGCCAAACACGTGCCCTCTGGCCAGTAGTAGATTGACTGTACACCTGCGCAGCCGCATCAATATAGCTTCCTGTAGAAAAAAAAAGGGTCCGGAAAGAAACCATACTGTAAGCTGACATGTAAGAGGCCCTTGCGGTACAACCCGCAGAGGAAACCGAAAAAACATTCCGAACCTTAAAGCCACATAAACCCAAGCCCTGCCCCTTGAACCTTAGGCAAAGGAACCCTGAACCCTAACCTTCCACTTTTGGCAGGACTCAGGAGGAGCCCACGAGTATTGAGTCCGGCACTCTTCTTCGATGCAAGCGGGCTTGGGTTCACGGATCAAGAGGTGTGTTTTGGATGTTTCAAGCTGTTCTGTGGGGTTGTAGAGGATTTGTTCGAGCTTGTGCTAAAGATTTGTTGAGGGTTGTTTATACATGTGTTTGACGTGGGGGTTGTAGGCGGTGCGTATCGAGTTTTAAGTGGGTGTTGTAGGGTTCATGGAGATTTGTTCTGAAGGGCGGTTGCATAAAGGGTTGTTTGTTCTTAGGGCCATTGTAACGGAGCGACAATTGGGAATAACATACTAACACCCCAAACCCTATTCCGAAGATTGAGGCGGCTGGATCGCCTTAAAGCTCCTTTTTGCCTTCAAAACCAACAGAAGCTGAGAGACCAGGGTCTCTACTAGGTCTTACTCGGAGGTGACGGAGCTTCTCTGCAGTCTTCACGAATCTAAACTTTCCGGATTCGGATGGAAGAGGATCGTTGGGTTGAGGGTTTAGGGTTTCTTGGGGTCAGGGTTTAGGGTATAGGGTAGGGTTCAGGGTTCGGGCTTCAAATCTGTTGCCGAAAAACTGCGCTTGGCTTCACTGCATGTGGGCTTCTGTTGATTCCTGACACCAGGTTTGGCTGCGATTGTCATCCAAGACATTTGTCCAACCTAGGCTATGAGTCCTTGCTCAGCCTCAAGCCTTAAATCCTAGACCCGTTCTAAATCTTCGCTCCTGAATTCTCAGCCTAAAGCCTGATAACCACATCTGAATTCCCAAACTCCTGACCCCAAGTCGTGCACTTTCACCTAGTCCGGAATCTTTTGCCGAGAGGCGCGAAATGTCTCCTTGTGCTGCTTCAGTCCCGCATGCCCTACTATGCCTAGGTGCTTCGGGGTCTTAAGTGCGTGAACATTTCCTACATTAAGGGCTATTCGGAACCCGGACACCCTAAACCCTGAGCTGCCAGAAAAGGGTATAGATGCGCCGGCACACCATGGCGCCCGGCATCTTTGCTGCTGTCATTGCTGCGTGCTGCCTCCAGCAAGTGCTGCAGCTCGGCGAAAAGCTCTGGTATAACATAGAAGGCTAAATCGTTACCGATATTACTGTTTAGGGTTCCTTATTATAACTATATTATACAGGAGCCCAAAACCCTATTCTAAGTATTCAGGCCTCTACAATTGGCAACCGTAGACCCGAAGCCCTAAGACCTTAAACCTTAAGCCTTGAACCCAGAGAAGGGTAGTCAAAAGGGGATCCGGTGAGGTTCCTGAGCTTTCGTCCATTAAGGCTATCATTGAACAAGTCCTAGACTCCAAAAGGTTTAGGGTTTAGGGTTTAGGGTTTAGGGTTTAGGGTTTAGGGTTCGGGTTCATTCTTTGGGAGCCCAGCTTACCCCAACTAAAAGCCCCCTTGCCCTAGGTGCCCAGTTACCTTCTGAGCTTCCAAGGAGCCATGACAGCTGCTGTGCCAAGGCAGCTGCTGCTATGGGTGGGGAGGTGGAGCTCATGCCAGCTCCTCTCCAGGGTTTAGGGCTTAGGGCTCAGGGCGTGGGGCCTTTAAGATTCAGGCTTCAAGCAGGGCTTAGGGTTCAGGAAAACAGAACAGACTTGTCGAGGTATCCAGGGCTTGTAGGGTTTGGGATTTCTTGTCGAGGCTTCCGAAGAGTTGCAGGTTTAGGATTTTCGGTTTAACCGTAAACCTAAGATTACCCTAAACCCAAAGCCTTATTGGGATTCGAGCTATGGCCTTCAGGGTCCAAAGTATCCGATGGTGTTGGGTACTTGGGCTCAGGGTAGTCCTTACAGGTTAGCATTATCCGATGGTGTTGGGTACTTGGGCTCAGGGTAGTCGTTACAGGTTAGCATTTTGAAGAAACATCGGATTCAAGGTTTAGGGTTTTGGGCTACTACTATGGAAGCTTCAATAATTTCCCAGTTTTGTTTTTAGGGATCCTTATAAGAAAATATACCATAAAGGAGCCCAAAACCCTATTCTAATTATTAAGACCCCTAGGTTAGGTGTTGGAGACTCTTGAGGGAGGCCTCTGTCTCCTCAGACTTGTTAAGGGATTCGGAAATCGGCTTCGCGTTCGGGGAGTTGGTTTCCGGCTATTAGGGATTTCGGGCTTACTGCCATGGTTTAGTGTGTAGGATCTATGTGGGATTAGCGAGTTACCTGCATCATCAATTGTAGGGACTGGTGGTCGGTGAAGTGTTTTCCTGTCAGACAGCAGACATGTAGTCTCCAGGAAACGAAACTATACTGCAACAAGTCAGAACCCTTGCGGAAATGGCCGCTACAACTCTGAAAGAAGCAGGCCTCAAATTTGAATGGTGCTTAGAGGTTTTAAGCTTTTGCAGGGAGCCTTCTTCGGAAAACCCTAAACCCTAAACCCTAAACCCTAAACCCTAAACCCTAAACCCAAAACCTCGCATTGACCCCCACGCAGTGATGAGTTTGATGTTCGGACGGGGAAAGGCTTCGGGGTCGAGGCTCTAAACCCTAAGTTCTACTTGAGCCTAAAATTACCTACCTTTTCAGTGTGACTTCCTTAATATCTTTCTTGAGTATGTAGGTTATATAGAGATATACCCTCATCGACAGCAAACTCCAGAAAGTTGGAACCGATGAGGGCTGGTATTCGCTATGGCGCACTTAAAGGAGCCCCTAAACCATCCTAAACCATTAGCTCTAATCCCGAAAAAACCCACAAACCTTATAAACCATAAAGGGCAGTCTATCAGCCCACGGTTTAGGGGTTTAGGGTTTAGGGTTTCAGCCCCACAATCCTCGAGCTAGGAACTTAAGCAAAGCTG